TCACAAGGTCCCAATGCACAGGCAATGATCAGAACGTTAAATTAGTTACCTTCAAAGAGCTAATAGTTTCATACCTCTTTTTGTTGTCTCAAGCGTTTCAAATACGTAGTGTTTTTTGCGGAGCTCCATAGAAAGAAGTTGGAGATCAGTGGCAAGAGACCTCTGTTATAAAACACATGATAAAGCTCAGATAGCTATGGCAAACGCTGCGAAAAGAAAGGATGTGTGACTTAAGAAATATCAAGTCAAGATTACCTGCACGTTTTTCCTAACACTTGAATCTTCAGAAGACCCAGTTGCAGAAAGCATCTTAAGTTGCTTCTCAGACTTCTTCAATAGAAATGTTATCTCTTGTGTCAAAGACTCAATATTATGTTGATCTTCTTTACCATCCCCAAACGAGGGCATTAACGCCTTGGCATGAGCCTTACCCAACTCAGCCATTTTGGTCCTTGCACGCTGTATGTTCACAGATATCTCCTCAGATACATCAACCCAAGCTGGTGGTAATCCCACTGTTAATGCACCTTTACTGGAACATGAAAGAAAAAAAAAAAGCTCATTAACTACTAACTTTCAGCTTAACATAGGCCAAGTACATTTTTTACTTTAAACTGCCACAATCAAGTAATGAGCCAGCTCTGTGATCTTTAATATCCTGAAGCGAATAAGCGATACTGCTTCGTCTCTATGACCAATTTTCAGATTTCTTGATTAAGATTCAACAAAGATGTGCTCTATATTACCAGTTATCTATGGAAAATCATTCACAGTGATGTTTTAGCTCAAATTCTAGAGCTAAAATACAATTTACTCTAGAGAGTAGCAAAGCCTAACGTATAATTTCTTCAGCATTTGCAAAGAGGGAAAAGAGTACCTCGAGTTTCCAGGATCCTCGGTACTAACAGGAGCATAGGAGCGATTCGGATTCAACAACGATGTGCTCGCCATCTCGATAACCGGACCAACACCGGATCGTGTTCCCGTCAACGAAGCCATCTCCAACGAAGATGACGCCAATGGAGCTCGAACGCTCCTCAGAGAGTTCCTGTACTTCCTGAACAGCAACGTACGATTCCTCGTCGCCATGACCGCGAAAATATAAAATCTCCCGATTTTCAATTCTCAGCTTCGCTTCTGATCGGAATATAGATCTGGGCCGGACCGGAGCTTCATCATCGACTGAGAATCAAATGAAACAGCGATTGTGGCGCCTGAAAAATGTGACACCTAATCAGAGACCGGCCGATCACCGGCGGGATCGAATTTCCGACGAGAATTACAAACTGAGGTTTTCCC